AAGTTGGTGGGAACTGCACAGGGCAAGACTGTTGAGGGTTCTACTGAAAAAACAAGGTATCAAATTGTTTGGATTTTAATCCCCCAGCATCATAATTCATTTTACTTGTTCAGCTAGTAAAACAGAAACACAGTTAAGGGTCAGAGATTTTTCTCAGGCGATTTATGCAGTGACAGATTAAACTAAAATCAAATTCTATAAATTAAGTGAAAAGTACATTTTACATGCACTGATGTTCAAAGTTTCATTCCAGGGAGATTAAACATGAAACATATATTTAATATTGAACGACTATCTCAAATAATTTTGTGTTCAATAGCACAGAAAGAACTGTGACTGTCTCATGAAACTTCTTGCTTCTCTGTAAACAAAAGAGGTGTGTGATTTTCAATTTAAGTAAGATCTTCTCCACTTGTCTGCTCAATGTTCCTACCCTCCATCCTCTTCTTCCTGATATCCCACTGAGGGAAGTAACTAGCCTAGGATTTATTTTTCTCAGAGCAACCAACTTGATACCATTGTTTCTTTTCATTGTAACCAAGGCTTAATCAAAAATTTTGGCTTTATAATGACCATTTCCACAGTTCTCACTTTACACCCTCCTTTTCCTTCATTGTACATTGCCATTGTCCACCACCCCTACCCACCAGGAGTGGAATCTGTTTTGAGTACAGGGACCCTTTTTTTTCCTTTTACTTCACTAGTCCTGGCACAGCGCTTAGCAAACACAAGTAGCTCAATAAATAAATACTTATTGATGGACGTAAGGAAGAGAACTGGGCACACTGTGCAAAGCCTGTCTCAGTATGAGAAGCTAAAACTCCCAGCAGAGCAACTGATCTCAGTCACCTTTCCAGAGTTCTCCCTGGTCCAAGAGAGCCAGTATGAATCCCAGGACTCCCTATGTTACAGGAATAAAGTAGCTCTGGCAAAAAAGGCTTTTGCAGCAAATGCTCTAAGAGATCTGGGAATAAGCACCATAGGGTTCCATCTAGGAAAAATATTAATTTTCCTTGGGGAGCAAAGTGCACATGAAAGGCTTCCTGTGCATAGGCCAGCCTAGGGCGAAATCGGTAACATTCTTAAAACATTCTAAAACACAATTTGTACTGGGTGCCTTCAGACTAAGCCGGCTTCTAACAATTGTAGCCAAAGTTTGTTTTTTTTTTTAAATAATTTCTGTAGGTTCCAGATGACACTAACGCTAACTTTGTCAAAAATAACTAATTTGCATGTGTGTGGGGGGGAAGCACTCATCCCATCACCTTCCACAAAACATAAGATATTCAAAATTCACACTTTCTTCAGCTTGCCCCGTGTCATATAATGCCTGTTGGATATATACATCTATTAAAGTTCACATACTATCTTTAGCCTGTCTTAGACCTGTAAAAAAGTCCTTTTTAACAGAGGAGACCAGAGAACAAACTGTCGAGGTCAATAACTTCTACTCTAACAAAGCAGTTCCACTGGACAATGGATTCTGCCTATTTCTCAAAATGAAATGAATGGCACCATTATCAATCCACAGATAAGAAATTAGAAGGGGAAAAACTTTTCATTAATAACAGAGAAGGCGGCTGGGTGTGATGGCTCACACCTGTAATCCCAGCACTTTGGGAGGCCAAGGTGGGCGGATCGTAAGGTCAAGAGATTGAGACCATCCTGGCCAACATGGTGAAGCTCTCTACTAAAAATACAAAAATTAGCTGGGTGTGGCAGTGTGCACCTGTAGTTCCAGCTACTCAGGAGGCTGAGACAGGAGAATCACTTGAACCCGGGAAACGGAGGTTGCAGTGAGCCAAGATGGTGCCACTGCACTCCAGCCTGGTGACAAAGAAAGACTCTGTCTCAAGAAGAAAAAAAAAGAGAAGAACTAAGGAGCGCACTTGTTATCTTAGAGGGGGAAAAACACAATCTGCAAAAAGTCTGAACTGGGCAGAGTGGCTCACACCTGTAATCCCAACAGTTTGGGAGGCTGAAGTGGGAGAATCACTTAAGCTCAGGAGTTGAGAGACCAGCCTAGGCAACACAGCAAGACTGTTTCTTTTTTTTTTAAGGTAGTAAAAGTCTGATTCAAGTGAATATGGAAAACAATGATTTTGTAACTAAATTAACATCTGGAACTTTTTTATCCATAACTATTCGATTTATTTAAAATTAAAATTTTTTTTTGCTGTGCACAGTGGCTCACGCCTGTAATCCCAGCACTTTGGGAGGCCAAGGCGGGCAGATCACGAGGTCAGGCATTCGAGATCAACCTGGCCAACATGGTGAAACCCCATCTCGATCAAAAATACAAAAATTAGCCAGGCGTGGTGGCCCACGCCTGTAGTCCCAGCTACTCAGGAGGCTGAGGCAGGAGAATCGCTTGAACCTGGGAGGCAGAGGTTGCAGTGAGCCGAGATCGCGCCATTGCACTCCAGCCTGGGTGACAGAGAGACTCCGTCTCAAGAAAAAAGAAAAAAAAAAAGAGGAAAATTCATGTATTTAAGACAACCAGCAGGTATATTTAAAGGACCATAGTTAGCCAGAGCAGAGACAAGAAACCTGCCATTAAAATGTATAATTGGTGAAGCTGTATAATGGGTACAATGTATTATTCTACTTTTGTGTATGGTTTATAATTTCCACGTTACAAATCCATAATGCATCAAAAAATAGACTTTAATGTAAACTTATGCCAAGTGAAAAATAAATGGCATGTATCCGCCTCTTCTGTTGCCTTCTATCAAAGTCAGGGTCCAACCAGGGAACATTCCTTTTCTAGCGCATTCATTACTCGCTCTTACCAGGTCCTTATGTGTACCCACTGGAAGATGCAAATGGGAAGAGCCAGCTTAACTTATGTAGAATGGTGCTGAAAATAACCCAGGTAACGTATTAGTAAGTTTTCAATAGAAACTTTGGAACATTCTTGAGAACTGACCTCAAGACGGAAAAACTGAACTGCATGGAAGATTATTCCTTTGAGAGAATTTTTCTTGTGTTTTTAAGAGTCAGGAGGATCTTGCTCTGTTGCCCAGGATAGCGTGCAGCAGCCCAATCATGGCTCACTGCAGCCTTGCACTCCTGGGCTCAGGGAGTACCTCTTGCCTCACTCTCCAGAGCAGATGGGACTACAGGCACAAGCCACCACATCTGGTTGTGTTTTTTTTTTTTTTTTACATTTTTGTAGAGACTGCATCTTGTTATGTTGCCTTGGCTGGTATTGAACTCCTGGCCTTAAGCAATCTTCCCATCTCAACCTCTAGAGCAGCTGAGATTACAGTCAAGAGTCACCGTGCCCAGCTCTAGATAAATTTCTGTATAATGCTCCCTGGTACAATAAAAACAAATCCAACTGAGGGTCTGTGCATGAGTCTATATCTGTCATCTAAATGGTGTGTCTAACGTCTTTACCCTTTTATTCCCTCTAGAAAGACTAAAGTTAATCAATACAATTTATTATACCAAAATGCCTGTGGACTTCTCATGACTGGAGTCAAACTACTTATAAAAGCAAGTAAAACTTAATTGGAATGGAGTTGAAACTAAATGTTAAAGTTATCTTTTCTACTTTGTCTTTGCACTGTTTCGGTGGAGGGGACTATACTTCTCCAGCTGCAGGCTGAGAATGTAAAGGAACAGGTATCAACACTGTCCTCATGAATACTGTAGCAAATGTACTTTTGATTTTTAAGTGTGGTTAGTCTGACATCCAACTTTGGCTTCCTGGGGAGTAAATTCTACAGGTTGATTCACCATTCTATTACACCTGCTTTTTATTTGCTCTTAAATCAAAGCCTTTAAAATTAAGCCTGGAGCTTCAAATTAACATAAAGAGGAACGGAGTGTAGTCTTTAAAGTTTCTGCAGGGGAAAAATTTTAGACCGGATAGACGCGTGTTCAAGCCTAGAACTGGTACAGCTTGAAACCACTGCCACTTTGCTGAAAATGATTCCTCAGATGATCAAGGAAAATCCCAAAGCTCCTGATGACCCCTCACCTGGTTGAACTCCTCGTCAGCATATATATCAATCAAGTCCACTCCTTCTGACATGGCTCCGGAAGGAAGATCGCGAGCCCGGAGGATGGACAAAGTAAGGAAGATGCCACTGCGGGATTCGGAAAAATGCAAGAATTAGAAGGCATGAGGGTCCTGGCCTGGGAGGAGGGCAATGGTTGCTAACCTCCCATCTCCAGAGACGTAGCATCCTAGCGGCCCGAGCTCGGCCCCACCCGCTCCGCCCCGCCCCCGGCCTCGCGCCGCCCCCCGCTCTCCCAGGCCGCCGGGGGTCGCTGCCCATCACCCTCGGGCCCGACCCGGGTAGCGCCGCGTCGGCGCCGCAGCTGCCTATGGCGCGACGGAAAAGTCCCACCTTCGGCTCCTAGGGGCCCTAGGACCGCGTTGCGAAGAAAGACCGCGGCGAAGCCCGCATCCCCTGTCCGTCGCACCTGCCTAGGCCCCAAAGCAGCTCCGGCCAGGGCCCCCGGGTGTCAAGCTACTCCAGCCGCCTCTGCTCCCCACCCAGGCCTACTCTTCGCCCCCAGCTAGGCCCGCCCCGCTCCCTCCCCACACACCCGGCCCGGCGCTCTCTCTGCCCCCTCCCTCAAAGGCCCGCGCCTCCCTCCGCCCGCAGACTCCGGCCGTCCCATCTCAACCGACCCCCTCCCCGCCTCAGCGCCGGCCCGGACCCCTCTTCCGGCCCAACCTGCCCCTGGCCGCGCGCCCCCGTTACCGGGAATATGGCGGCGGCAGCGGCGAGTCCGGACTAGGCCCGAAGCGCGCGAACCGCTCTCCGCCCCAGGTCCCGCCCCCCCGCCGCCGGCGTCACACGCACCGCCACTTCCGGCATACGCAAGGACGCACCTTCCGCCTCAGGTCCTCCGTGGCTGCCGTAGTCGGCTGGCCGTGAGGCTAGGAGTTCCCGGAAGTGCCCGGGCAGCCGGTTTCCGGTGCAGGTGGGGAAAATGGCGGTGTCCACAGTGTTCTCGATTTCATCGCGGGTGAGGAGAGAGAACGTTCTAGCGTCCGGGGCGGGCGGCAGCGCGGATTACGCTTTGTCTTCTTCTGTGGTGTCTATCTTGGGGAGCGTTCGTCTGCCCGATAGCCTAGGGCAAGGGCAGGCCCAGGGAGAGGACGATTCTGCAGCTCAGGAAATAAAGGTCGCTTCCATTCTTTGGTGAGCCTACTGTGTGCCGGTCTGGAAATAACTGCTGAAACGATAAGTCATCGTCCAAGACTCAATTCACCTCTCACCTACGTCGCAGGCGGGGTTAGCCCAACTTCCTGTGGACGCCCCTTCTCCCCGTTCTTTAGTCTTTAATGCCTTTCGTGGTTTCATATAGTATCTTGAGCTCTTTGTTTTGTTTATAACGGACATATAATAATTGTACGTGTTTATGGGGGTACAGTGTAATGTTTTAATACATGTGTACATTGTATAATCAAATCAGCGTAGTTAGCATGTCCATCACCGCAAATCTTTATCATTTCTTTGTGGTGATAACTTTTCAAGATCTTTTTCTAGCCATCTTGACATACACAGTACAGTGTTACTAGCTGTAGTCACTCTAATATGTAATAGAGCACTGGAACTTATTCTTTTTTCCTATCCTGCTGTTACAAAGTGACGAACTTTGCCTCTATCTTCCCCTCCTACCCCCATCCTTATCTTTGTTCTTTTTTTTTTTTTTTTCCTATAGACCCAGGGACTTGATCTTTATTCTTTTTTGATGTAGGCGTTTACACTATAAACTTCCTTCTTAGTACTGCTTTTGTGCCATCTCACAATTTTGTATATGTTGGGTTGTAGTTTGTCTCAGGATGTTTCCTTTTTGTTTGTTTTTTGTTGTTTTCCTTCTTTTTTTTTTTTTTTGAGACAGGGTCTCACTATGTTGCTCAGGCTGGTCTCAAACTCCTAGCCTCAAGTGATCCTTCCGCCTCAGCTTTCCAAAAAGTTCTGGGATTACTGGCGTGAGTCACCGTTCTCGGCGTGTCTCAAGATATTTTCTAATTTTCCTTTTGATGTCTTCTTTGACTCATTGATTATTCAAGAGTGTGTTGTTTAATTTCCACATATTTGTGAATTTTTCAGCTTTTCTTTTGCCATTGATTTTCAGGGTTTAATAAAATGTCTCTTGTACAGCATATAGTTGAATCTTTTTTTAGAAATTCATTCAGCCATTTCATGTCTTTTGATTGGGGAGTTTATTTTATTTTATTATTATTATTAAATTTTTGAGACAGAGTCTCGCTCTGTTGCACAGGTTGGAGTGCAGTGGCGTGATCTCAGCTCACTGCAAGCTCTGCCTCCCGGGTTCATGCCATTCTCCTGCCTCAGCCTCCCGAGTAGCTGGGACTACAGGTGCCCGCCACCACACCCCGCCACCATGCCCAGCTAATTTTTTGTATTTTTAGTAGAGACTGGGTTTCACCGTGTTAGCCAGGATGGTTTCGATCTCCGGACCTCGTGATCCGCCCACCTTGGCCTCACAAAGTGCTGGGATTATAGGCGTGAGCCTCCGTGCCTGGCCTGGAGTTTAATGCATTTATACTTAAAGTAAATAGTGGCCGAGGTGAGTGGATCATGTGAGTCCTGAAGTTCGAGACCAGCCTGGGCAACATGGCAAAACCCCTTCTCTACTAAAAAAATTTACAGGTGTGGTAGTGCACACCTGTAGTCCCAGCTACTTGAGAGGCTGAGGTGGGAGTGAGTCTGAGAAGTCAAGGCTGCATTGAGGTGTGATTTTGCAACTGCACTCCAGCCCGGGCATTAGGAGTGAGACCTTGTCTCAAAAAATAAATAAAATAAAATAGGGAAGTACAATTATCCCTTTGTATCCATGGGATGACTGTTGTAGGACCCTCTGTGGATATCAAAATCTGCAGATGCTCAGTCTCATATAAAATGGCATAGTAGTTGCATATAATCTACATATATCCTTTCTTTTTTTTTCTTTCCTTTTTTTTTAAATTATACTTTATGTTCTAGGGTACATGTGCACAACGTGCAGGTTTGTTACATGTGTATACATGTGCCATGTTGGTGTGCTGCACCTATTAACTCGTCATTTACATTAGGTATGTCTCCCCCACCCCACACATCCTTTCATATGCTTTAAATTATTTCTAGATTACTTATAATACCGAAAACAATGTCAAGACTATGTAAATACTTGTTATACTATATCTCAGTTGTTTTTAAATTGTTGTATTATTTGTTATTTCTTTTGAATATTTTTGATCCACGGTTGAGTGTGCAGTTGGTTGAGTGTGCAGTTGGTTGAATTTGCAGGTGTGGAACCCACAGATGTGGAGGGCCAACCGTGCTTGCTGTTGCCATTTTGTAAACTGTTCTCTGTCTTACAACTTTTTTGCTCCTCTTTTCCACTCTTGTCAGCCTTTATATTTCATTGACTTTTTTTTTTCTTTTTGTAGTCACATAGTTTGAGAAATGAATTTCTCATTTCCTTGTATGTCTTACGCAGGTATTTCTTTGTGGTTACCATGTGGCTTATGTAAAACATAACAATCTGTTTTGATTGATAACTTAATTTCCATTGCATACAAAAACTCTGCTCTTTTATGACCCCTTTTATGTTATTGGTGTCACAAATTACATCTTTTTATATTGTCTCCATTAACAAATTTTTATAGTTATTTTTATACTTTTGTCTTTAATTTCTATACCAAAATTAAAAGTGATTTACATACCATAGTTACAGTATTATAGTATTCTGTATTTGTCTATATATATATATACACGCAGATATATATATATATTTTTTTTTTGAGATGGAGTCTTGCTCTGTTGCCAGGCTGGAGTGCAGTGGCATGATGTTGGCTCACTGCAACCTCCACCTCCTGGGTTCAAGCAATTCTCCTGCCTCAGCCTTCTGGGTAGCTGGGAGTGTAGGTGCGTGCCGCCAGGCCCAGCTAATTTTTGTATTTTTAGTAGAGATGGGATTTCACCATGTTGGCCAGGATGATCTCTATCTCTTGAATTCGTGACCCTCCTGCCTCGGCCTCCCAAAGTGCTGGGAGTGTAGGTGTGAGCCACCACATCCAGCCCTGTATTTGTCTATATATTTACCATTACCAGTGAGCTTTATGTTTTCTTTCTTTCTTTTTTTTTTTGAGACAAAGTCTCGCCTTGTCACCCAGGCTGGAGTGCAGTGGCGTGATCTCAGCCCACTGCAACCTCTGTCTCCCGGGTTCAAGCAGTTCTCCTGCCTCAGCCTCCTGAGTAGCTGGGATTACAGTCGTGTGCCACCACACCCGGCTAATTTTCATATTTTTAGTAGAGACAGAGTTTCGCCATGTTGGCCAAGCTGGTCTCTAACGCCTGACCTCATGATCCGCCTGCCTTGACCTGCCAAAGTGCTGGGATTATAGGCCGTGATTTTCTTTTGTTGTCTAGTGTCTGTCCTTTTCTACTTGGAGGACTTCTTTTAGCATTTCTTGTAAGGCAGGTCTAGTGGTGATGAACTCCCTAGCTTTTATCTGGTGAAGTCTTTATTTCTTCAACGTTTTTAAAGGACAGCTTTGCCAGATATAAGTATATTGGGTTGGCAATTCTTTTCTTTCAGCATCTTGAATTATATTATCCCACTCCTAGCCAGCAAGGTTTCTGTTGAGAAATCTGATAGTCTTTTGGAGGCCTTCTCATATGTGGTAAGTTGCTTTTTCTCTTGCTGCTTTCAAAATTTGTCTTTGACTTTTGACAGTTTTTTTTTGGAAAGATAACTGTCTTTAACTGACAGGATATAAAACATGAGCCAGAGAAGCATACAATTATTTTTCATAAATTTTTTTTAATGTCTTAGAAACCTTTATTCTTAGAGTTTTGGGGATTTTGTTGTTATTATTGTTGCTCTATCTAGGCTGCGTTTTTTTGTTGTTGTTGTTGTTTGAAATGGAGTCTCGTTCTGTTGCCCAAACTGGAGTACAGTGGCCCGATCTCAGCTCATTGCAACCTATGCCTCCCAGGTTCAAGTGATTCTTCTGCCTCAGCGTCCTGAGTAGCTGGGACTACAGGACACCATGCCTGGCTAATGTTTGTGTTTTAGTAGAGATTGGGTTTCACTGTGTTGGCCAGGCTGGTCTTGAACTCCTGACCTCAAGTGATCTGCCCGCCTCAGTCTCCCAAAGTGCTGGGATTACAGGCGTGAGCCACTGCACCCAGCTATTTTTTATAATTAGAGAGCTATTCCTGCCTGCAAAGACAAATATATTCCAATAGAAATTTCCGGTGATAATTTATTTAACGCAACTCGTAACAGTGTCACACAATTCCCTGGAACTATGTGACAACCATTATTGTTTCTTGTATGGAATGCTGCCTTGATACTAACAGGAAAAAAAGGGTGAAATTTGGCTAAAATAATAAGACATCCCAATTATTAGAATAATTACCTTGTACTGATGATGATAGTCCTCCCCATCCGCATTTATTTCTGTAGAAATTACTCAACCATGTTATTTTAGTACAGAAAGTAGGAATCCCTGCCTTCAGTCTGCATCAGAATCTCTTAGAGGGCTGTTAAAAATTCATTCACCAAGGCCCAGTCCTAGAGATTCTGATCCAGAATGTTTATGGTGGGGCTTGGGAATCTGAATTTTCATTGCATGCTGTGTTAGTTTACTGGGGCTGCTATAACTTGTGTGGTTTGAAAAACAGAAATTAATTTTCTCATAGAAATTTCTAGCCTGGAGGCTAGAAGTCAAGAGCAAGGTGTTGGCAGGTTTGGTTTCTTTTGAGGCCTCACTCTTTGGCTTGCAGATGGCCACCTTTTCACTGTGTCCTCACATTTCTGTGTGCGTGCACATCCCTGGTGTCTCTTTTCTGACTTTAAAGAGATAGGGTCTTGCTTTGTTGCTCAGGTTGTAATTTAATTCTCGGGTTCAAGCAGTCCTCCCACTTCGGCCTCCCAGGTAGCTGGAACTACAGGCACAGGCCACTGCACCCAGCTTTTTCTGACTTTTGACAGTTTGATTAAAATATGTCTCAGTGTGGACTTCTTTGGGTTCGTGCTAATTGAGATCTGTTGGACTTGAATCTGGATGTCCACTTCTTTCCCCAACTTTGGGGGTTTTCAGCCATTATGTCTTTTTTTTGAGATGAAGTCTCACTCTGTCACCGAGGCTGGAGTGCGAAGGCACAGTCTCAGCTCACTGCAACCTCTGTCTCCTGGGTTCAAGCAATCCTCCTGCCTCAGACTCTCCAGTAACTGGGGTTACAGGCATGCACCACCATGCTTGGCTACTTTTTGTATTTTTAGTAGAGACGGGGTTTCGCCACGTTGGCCAGGCTGGTCTAGAACTCCTGATCTCAGGCGATGCGTTCACCTCAGCCTCCCAAAGTGCTGGGATTACAAGCATTAGCCACTGAGCCCAGCCAATTATGTCTTCTAATAAGCTTTCCGCCCCTGTCTTTCTCCTATAGGACTCTCATAATGTGTATATTGATCTCCTTGATGGAGTCCCTAAGGCTTTCTTCACTCTCATTCTTTTTTTTTTTTTTTTTTAGGAAAAACCCTTATTTCAAATGACTGGTCCTTGAGTTTGCTGACTCTGCTGCTTGATCAGGTCTACTATTGATCTTCTCTAGTAAATTTTTGTGTTTATTTTATTTTATTTTATTTTATTTTTTTGAGATACAGTCTCGCTCTGTCACCCAGGCTGGAGTGCAGTGGCGCGATCTCGGCTCACTGCAAGCTCTGCCTCCCAGGTTCACGCCATTCTCCTGCCTCAGCCTCCCGAGTAGCTGGGACTACAGGTGCCCGCCACCACGCCCAGCTAATTTTTTGTATTTTTTATTAGAGATGGGGTTTCACCACATTAGCCGGGATGGTCTCCACCTCCTGACCTCGTGATCCATCCACCTCGGCCTTTCAAAGTGCTGAAATTACAGGCATCAGCCACCGCGCCTGGCTTAATTTTCAAATTTTTATATATTTTTATTTTTTAGAGACGGGGTCTCACTGTGTTGCCCAGGCTGGTTCTCGAACCCCTGAGCTCAAGTGATCCTCCAGCCTCAGCCTCCCAAAGTGCTACAATTATAGACGTGAGCCACCATGCCTGGCCTCCTCTAGTGAATTTTTCAATTCAGTTACTGTATTCTTCAGCTCCAAAATTTTCATTTGGTTTTTTTTTAATGTTTTCTGTCTTTTTATTGGTATTCTCATTTTGTTCAAGCATCACTTTCCAAAGCTCATTGAACATCTTTATTATGACTAGTTTGAATTCTTTATCAGGTGATTCATATACTTCTGTTTCTTTAAGGTTCGTTTCTGGAGATTTATTTCATTCCTTTAATTGGACCATGTTTCTCTCTTTATTCATGTACTTGGTAACTTGTACTGGTGATTTCTACATTTGAAAAATCATCTGTCTCTCCTGGTCTTTGTACTGGTGATTGGCCTTCACCAGTCAGCATGGATAGAGATTCTGAGGGCCTCTCAATCCTTTCCTGAGGATGTGTCTTTTCTGGACTTGTGGATGTAAATTCCCAATGAGAGGGACTTGCCGGTTTCCTTTTGCGGGAGCTCGTAATTTCTTGCTCCTTCTAGTGTCTGCCTGTGATACTGCAGTTTCTCTGGAGCTGCTGCAAAGTCTCCCAGCTGTCTTCTTCGGTGGCCTCCAGCCTTTTAGAGTATGCCATGTCCCATCAGTGCCCCAAGCTGGGCAAGACAGAAACCAGTCCCTCTGGTAGCTTCTCCAAAAGACAGAATGTTACAAGAGTGTGGTGGCTCGTGCCTGTAATCCCAGCACTTTGGGAGGCCAAGGTGGGTGGATCACCTGAGGTCAGGAGTTCGAGACCATCCTGACCAACATGGAGAATACAAAATTCAGCCTGGAGCGTGTGGGGCATGCCTGAAATCCCAGCTATGGAGGCTGAGGCAAAAAAAAAAAAAGTCAGAATGTTAGATGCACACTCCACTCCCCCTAACCCTGGGAGAGGCCACTGGGCTGTATTGGCCTTTCTCTGTGGTTTCAGGGAAGCTCTGGATCAGCAGCAAGCCACCAGGCATTTAGAGTGTGCTAGATCCTTTCAAGTGCTTAGAGACAGAAACCAGTTCCCCAGGGAGCCCCTGAAAAGCTAGAATGTTGGATGCACACTGCACCTCTTTCCCTCCCTAGGGAGAAGCTGGGAGGTGGGAGTTTTCTCCTGCTTGTTCTGCACTGAGCCAAGGATGAGTGATGAGGGAGTGAGTGCTTGCCAGTCTAAACTGTCACCTTTGTTCTCCATGGTTCTTTGTTCTCCCTCAACCTGCTGCCCTTTTCTGTCAGTACTTAGATTCAAACAAAACAGAAACCTGATCCCCCCAAAGGTCCGAACATTATACATACTTTTCAGTCTTCTCTTTCCATCTCAGGTAGAAGCTAGGAGCTGGGGGTTATCTCATGATCATGCTTGGGCAGGGAGGGGAGAGACTGGCATATGAGTGCTACAAATTGTTCTGCTGGCTTTGATGCAACTGGTTTTGTGCTCACCTGGGGAGCAGGAGCCTCTCACTGGTTTCTGGATTTCTCATAGGGAATTGGTTTGTTTGTTGCTGTTGGCTCAGTGTCTCCATCAGGGGAGGAAGATCTGGGGTTTCCTACTCCACCATCTTCACCTCTTGCTGAGGTCACCACCTTGACATCATATCTTGATAGTTTATCCACTTCTCTGGATTGGGAGCCTTTGGGGGATTAGGGATCATGCTGTCTCTGTGTGCTCAGGATTTGACACAGGTGAGTGAGTAGAGTATAAACCATACGGTAAGAATTTTAAGGGAGTGCAAAGGAAGGAAAAATTGTTTCTGCCAGCATAGTTTCTGGAAAGGAACTGGTTAAGGACACATTTGCAGTTAGGACTACGTTTTAATTCTAATTGCAGTTACTATTTGGATGATTTGGGGTGAGTTTTTGAACCTTCCTGAGCCTCTCTTTCCTTGGCTGTAAAGTGGGGACAATATCAGCATAATTTCTTTTCTCTTTTTGGGGGGCTAGGGTCTGTTGCCCAGGCTGGCATGCGGTGGTACGATCACAGCTCCCTGCAGCTTTGACCTTCCCAGGCTCAGATGGTCTTCCCACTTCAGCCTCCTGAGTAGCTGGGACTACAGGCATCATGGTGGGACTACCCCACTTTGACTCATTTTTGTATTTTTTGTAGAGACAGGGTCTCACTATGTTGCCCAGGCTGGTCTCGAACTCCTGAACTCAAGTAATCATGCTCGCGTCAACATCCCAAAGTGCTGGGATTATAGGTATGCGCCGCTATGCCTGGCCAGCAGCATAATTTCCTCATGACTAAATGTGATTGAATGCATTCAGCACCTAGTAAGCATTGAGTAAATGATAGTGATGATAGTTGTCATTACTGTAAAGATGTTTGTGGTTTGTTCTTTTCAGATGCTTGCTCTGTCAAGGCACAGCCTGTTGTCTCCTTTGCTCAGCGTGACATCATTCAGACGCTTCTACAGAGGTGACAGCCCAACAGATTCCCAAAAGGACATGATTGAAATCCCTTTGCCTCCATGGCAGGAGAGAACTGATGAATCCATAGAAACCAAAAGAGCCCGCCTGCTCTATGAGAGCAGAAAGAGGGGAATGTTGGAAAACTGCATTCTTCTTAGGTATGGGACTAGGAGCCTTTTTTTTTTTTTTTTTAAATCAGGCAGCCTCCTGAGCCAGAGTAGGTTCAGAGAGACTCCCGGGAGTAGGATTCTTGGTGTCACTTCTCTTTTATTAGACATAGCCTTCTCAACCTCTTTTTCTTTTTCTCTTTCTTGTTATTAGCCTTTTTGCTAAAGAACACCTGCAGCACATGACAGAGAAGCAGCTGAATCTCTATGACCGCCTGATTAATGAGCCTAGTAATGACTGGGATATTTACTACTGGGCCACAGGTACTGGGCACCATAAGCAGCATAATGTGAAAATAGGCTGATTTGAGTCTAGAATTGTATCCTAGATAATTTTTTTCTTTCTTTCTTTCTTTCTTTTTTTTTTTGAGACTGAGTTTCTCTCTTGTTGCCCAGGCTGGAGTGCAATGGCATAATCTCGGCTCACCGCAACCTCTACCTTCCAGGTTCAAGCGATTCTCCTGCCTCGGCCTCCTGAGTACCTGTGATTACAGGCATGTGCCTCCACGCCTGGGTAATTTTGTATTTTTAGTAGAGACGGGATTTCTCTGTGTTGGTCAGGCTGGTCTTGAACTCCTGACCTCAGGTGATCCACCTGCCTCGGCCTCCCAAAGTGCTGGGATTACAGGCATGAGCCACCGTGCCTGGCCTATAATTTTTTTCTTTTATTCATGAAGTAGACACTCAACCCAAACACTGTTCAAATTTTTGTTAAGTGTATAAAATTTGTTTTAACAGTTAAGGTTCTTTATTTGCAAGACAGAGTAGAAACTTGTCTATCTCACTTAAGCAAAAAGGAGTTTAGTGGAAGGGTATGTGACGCTCACAGTGGTCAAAGGTTGAAGAAGAACCATGCTTGGAATGGAATGGAATCAGACAACTAAGTCTGCATAGCCAGAGCTCCTCAATAGTTTCATTCTGGCCTGGCGCGGTGGCTCATGCCTCTAATCTGAGCACTTTGGGAGGCTGAGGCGGATGGATCACTTGAGGTTAGGAGCTTGAGACCAGCCTGGCCAACACAGGGAAACCTCATCTCTACAAAAAATACAAAAATTAGCCGAGGAAGGTGGCGGGCACCTGCCATCTCAGCTATTTGGGAGGCTGAGGCAAGAGAATCGTTTGAGCCTGGGAGACAGAGATTGCAGTGAGCTGAGATTGCACCACTGCACTCCATCCTGGGCAACAGAGTGAGACTATGTCTCAAAAAAAAAGTTTCATTCAGACACTGCCTTTATGAGGAATGAATTCTAACTGTGTATAGTTAGGATTAACTTTGGCTATGAGTAAAAAAAAATCCAAAACAATAATGGCTTAAACCAGGTAGAACGGTCTTTCTCATGACGAAAGTCCAGAGGAAGGCACACTCCAGAGCTCACAGAGGGGCGTCAAAAAGTCATGGGTCCAGGTCACCCCAACTTGCTGCTCTTTCATCCTAGCATGTATTGTCTACTTCTTGATGCAGGACAGCTGCTGGAGCTGTCCTGTTCACATTTCAGCCTGGAAAAAGTGTGTGGAAGTGCATACTCCTCCTTGGTAGATCCCGCTCAGGAAATTATCCAGCATACTCCCACTTATTTGCCATTGGACACAGCTTAGTTACTTGGCTACATCTGACCATAAGGAAAAATAATATAGTCTATTCCATCTGCCCCGCTATGTTGGAGATTCTGTTATTGATGAAAATTGGATATTAGGGGATGTGTCATTCATTTCTGCCACACTCTGCGACTGCTGTTTTTGTGTCTCAATATTTGTATCAGAAATGATACAAAACTCCTGCCTCCCAGGAGTTTGAGAACAGCCTGGCCAGCATGACAATACCCCGTCTCTACTAAAAATGCAGAAGTTAGCTTTGTGTGGTGGTGCACCCAACTCCTCTGGACGCTGAAGCAAGAGAATCGCTTGAATCCAGGAGGTAGAGGTTGCAGTGAGCCGAGATCATGCCACTGCACTCCTGCCTGGGTGACAGAGCGAGACTCTCTCAAAAAAATAAATAAGGCTGGGTGCAGTGACTCACGCCTGTAATCACAGCACTTTGGGAGGTCAAGGCGGGTGGATCACCTGAGGTCAGGAGATCCTGACCATCCTGGCTAACACGGTGAAGCCCCGTCTCTACTAAAACTACAAAATATTAGCTGGGCGTGGTGGCGGGTGCCTGTAGTCCCAGCTACTCAGGAGGCTGAGGCAGGAGAATCGCTTGAACCTGGGAGGCAGAGGTTGCAGTGAGCCAAGGTCAGGCCACTGCACTCCAGCCTGGGCAACAGAATGAGACTCTGTCTCAAAAATAAGTAAATAAATAAAACTTTTAATATGTTTTTTCTGTAATAGGTAAATGTAGATAGTAAGCTTTTTCTGTAATAGGTAAATATAGATAGTAAATATAGAGAGTGAATATTTTAGGCTTTGCAGGCCATACAGCCTCTCATAACTATTCGAACCTCGACCTTTGTAGCATGAAAGCAGCCACAGACAACAGATAAACAAAAGAATATGATTGTGTTTCAATAAAGCCTTATTGTGGACACTGAAATTTGAATTTCATACTGTTTTCACCAGTTATGAAATATACTTTTGATTTTTTTCCCCCAACCATTGAAAAATCATTCTTGGCTGGATGTAGTGGCTCACACCTGTAATTCCAGCGCTTTGGGAGGCTGAGGCAAAGGATCTCTTGAGGCCAGGAGTTTGGGACCAGCCTGAGCAACATAGACCCCCTGTCTCCAAAAATAAAAATAAATTAGCTGGGCTTGGTGGTGCACGCTGTATTCCCAGCTACTTGGGAGGATCACTTGAGCCCAGGAGTTCAGAGACTGCAGTGACCTATGATCACGCCACTGCATTTCAGCCTGGGCAAGAGTGAGATCCAATCTCTAAAACTCATTCTTAGCTCACAGGGCATAGTTTGCCAACTTCTGTGCTAAGCAAAAGAGGTCAGACTCAGCCGGGTGCGGTGGCTCACGCCTGTAATCTCAGCACTTTGGTAGGCTGAGGTGGGCGGATCATGAAGTCAGGAGATCGAGACCATCCTGGCCAACATGGTGAAACCCTGTCTCTACTAAAAATACTGGGTGTGGTGGCGGGTGCCTGTAATCCCAGCTACTTGGGAGGCTGGGACAGGAGAATCTCTCAAACCAGGGAGTCGGAGGTTGCAGTGAGCTGAGATCATGCCACTGTACTCCAGCCTGGGTGACAGAGCGAGACTCCATCTCAAAAAAAAAAAAAAGAGGTCAGACTCAAAGAGTACATACTCAGTACATAATCGGGCTCAAAGAATGTGATTGTGTTTACATGATAATCTGAAAAAGGCAAAATTTACAGGGACAAATCAGTGATTGCCAGGGTGTTGGACCTGAAGGGAGGGGTTGGTGTTCCACATCTTTACCCACACTTTGTATTATCAGGATTTTGTTTTTGTTTTTAGCCATTCCAAGAAGTATATATTGGTATATCACTATAGCTTTAATTTGCATGTCTGGAATGACTAATAATATTGAGGATCTTTTCATGGGCTTATCAGCCCTTTATGTATATTTGGTGACGTGTCTCTTCAAATTTGCCCCCCACCCCCGCCTCCTCCCTTTTTTTTTTTCTAAGACAGGATCTCACTCTGTCACCCAGACTGGAGTGCAGTGGTGCAGTCATGGCTCAGTGCAGGCTCCACCTCCTGGGCTCAAGCGATCCTCCTACCTCAGCCTCCATAATAGCTGGAACTATGGGCCTGCACCACCATGCCCAGCTAATTTTTGTTGTTGTTACTGTATTTTTTGTGGAGATGAGGGTTTGCCATGTTGCCCAGACTGGTCTCAAACTCCTGAGCTCAAGTGATCCACCTGCCTTGGCCTCCCAAAGTGCTGGGATTACAGGTGTGAGCCACCACGCCTGGCCAGATTTTCCATTTTGGAAGATATTTTCACTGGATATAGAATTCAAGGGTCACAATGTTTTTTCTTCTGTTAAATAGATATACTTCTACCTCCAGCTCTTAGTGTACAAGATCAGGTAGTCAAGAGTTCCACTGGGTTTGGGCTTTGGTTTTGCTCTGGTTACCTTCGGTGTGTCGCCAGCTTCACATTCCCTCTTGTGTTACCATGTGCTGTTTTCTCATTTCCATAGTTTGTGACGAGGTCTGCTGTATCTTTGTTCCTTTGTGTGTATCTTCTTTTTCTGAATCTTTTCAATAGTTTGTCTTTGGTTTCTAGCTATTTCAATATTATATATGTAGGTATTTATTTGATATTTATCGTGCTTTTGGGTTCTCTGGGCATTTTGGATCTGCATTTTCATCTTTTATTATTGTTGAAAAATTCTCAACTATTATCCCTTCAGATATTTCTTCTGCTTTGTTTTCTCCCTCTTTTCCTTCTAGGATTCTAGTTATACTTAGTTAAATGGTTTAATATTGTCCAACAGCTTTTGTGGGGGTTGTTTGTTTCGGTTTTTTGGTTTTTTGGTTTTTTGAGACAGTCTTGCTGTGTCACCCAGGCTGGAGTGCAGTGGCGTGATCTTGGCTCACTGCAACCTCTGCCTCCTGGGTCCAAGTGATTCTCATGCCTCAGCCTCCTGAGCAACTGGGACCACAGGCACGTGCCACCATGCCTAGCTAATTTTTTTGTATTTTTAGTAGAGACAGGTTTCACCCTGTTGGCCAGGCTGGTCTTGTACTCCTGGCCTCAAGTGATCCATCCACCTCAGCCCCTTAAAGTGTCGGGGTTACAGGCGTGAGCCACTGTGCTCAGTCTGTCCAACAGCTTTTGGGTTCTCTGTTTTGTGTTTTTTCACTCTTTTTTCTCTTTGTATAGCAGTTTGGGTAATTTGTATTAGATAATATCTCTTGACTTATCTTCCACTAATTCTTTCCTTGATGATGCCAAATCTCATGATGAGCCTGTTGAAATCATTCTGCTTATCTGCTACTGTATTTATTTTTAGCATTTCCGTTTGACTTTTGGTGTTTCTAACTCTGCTAGAATTTCTCATCTGTTCATACATTTTGTCTGCTTTTTCCACGGGCGCCTTTAATATTAGTCATAGTCATTTTAAATTCCCTGTCTGATAGTTCTAACGTCTGGGTCATCCCTCAATCTGCTTCTGTTGATTTCTTTGTCCCTTGACAGTGTGTTGTTTTTCCTTCTTTCGTGTATGTGTCTGTAGTAATTTTGTGTTGATTATTAGACATTGGGGTAAGACAGTAAAGACTGAGGTATGTATTTATGCTTACAATCGGGGTGCTTCTGCTTTACTGTTAGTATGGGGATCAAGTCAGTGAGTTGGGAGGTAAGCTCAGCTTGGGTTTTGTTTTTGCTTTGGTTACCTTCATTGCATTACCAGTGTCTAGTGTTAGTTAACATGTGCTTAGGGTGGAAGCTGGCTCTGTCGCCCAGCCATCTCGGCTCCCTGCAACCTCCACCTCCCGGGTTGAAGCGATTCTCCGCTCAAGACCTCCTGAGTAGCTGGGATTACAGGTGCGTGCCACACGCCTGGCTAATTTTTGTAGGAGATGGGGTTTCACCGTGTTAGCCAGGATGGTCTCGATCTCCTGACCTTCATGATTCGCCCTCCTGGGCCTCCCAAAGTGCTGGGGGTTTAGGCGTGAGCCACCGCGCCACAGCCCCCCAAAGAGTTCTTCTTCTCCTTTTTTTTTTTTCTTTTTTTTGAGACGGAGTCTCGCTCTGTTTCAACTCCAGGCTGGGAGGTGAGTGGCGCGATTCTCGCTCAACTGCAACATCCCCCCTCCCGGGTTCAACCGCCGTTTCCCTGCCTCAGCCCTCCGAGTAGCTGGGTTTCTTACAGGTGCCCTACCACCACACCCTGCTAATTTTTGTAGTTTTTAGTAGAGACGGGGTTTCACCATGTTAGCCAGGATGGTCTCGATCTCCTGACCTTGTGATCCGCCCGCCTCGGCCTCCTAAAGTGCTGGGAGTACAGGCATGAGCCACCGCGCCCGGCCAAGGGTTTCTTAAGAGAAACCCTATTCTACCTTCAGCTCTCAGCCTTCCTTGCATTTCTGTGTCTCAGAGGGAATCTCTGTCCGTGTTCTTGTCATCCCCCAGTGCAGCAGCCTTCCTGTTGCTTTCCACCTGATGCTTGGTTCAGGAGAGGAGAGGTTGGGATGGCACTCTCTGTTGTCCTGGTCTAGCCTTAGTCCCAAGTAGCCCATGTGGTCCTGGGTCTTGGAGCTGGGATTTCTCAGTGATAGTGCCTCTCCCATAGGGGTAGAGGAAAAGAGTCCAGGCTGGGCTTTATGCTTTTTTTTTTTTTTTTCCCTGAGACGGGGTCTCGTTCTGTTACCAAAGCTAGAGTACAGTGGTGCAATCTTAGCTCACTGCAGCTTCGAGCTTGGCTCACATAATCCTCCTGCTTCAGCTTCCCAAGTAGGTAGGACTAGAGGTGCATGCCACCACACCCAGCTATTTTTGTTTGTTTTTGTAGAAATGGGGTCTCACTGTGTTGCTCAAGCTGGTCTCAAACTCCTGGCCTCAAGCAGTTCTGCCTTGGGTTCCCAAAGCACTGGGATGTGCATTTTTTTGGCCGCATTGGCTTTTCCCCTCCTCCTGGTCTTTATCAATGAGAGAGGTTCTTTCTAGCTTCCTGCTTTCTACCCAGTCTTTGTCAAGAGCACACCTTTGTGAGAAGAACCTGTGAGTGGGAGCATATTCCATTTGTCTGGAGTTTTATTTTTATTTTTATTTATTTATTTTTTTGAGACAGAGTTTCACTCTTGTAGCCCAGGCTAGAGTGCAGTGGCACAATCTTGGCCCA